AGGCTTGGAAATAGTGCCATTGTCTTGGTAAGAGGAAGGAGTAGAGTTGGAAGAAGAAGAGGCCATTGCAGATCTAGCTTATGAGATTAAGCTAACTGCTCTGATACCACTTGTTAGTCTCGAAGGGGAAAGCAATAAATAGAAAGTAATTGTAGAAGGGGGGTTGAATAAAATTACACATATTTTTTTCAACTTTTTAATTCTTATTGATTTATATCAAGAATTAATACACACATAAATACAAAAGATTGTTGCGGAAGATAGGAAAGGAAAACCTAACCTAAACAATCTTACAAGGAGAAGAACTTTAAAGAACAACATAGAGAGTTGTTGAAAGGAAATGAAGAACACTAAGAATTTTATCGCACACATGATAGCAAGGGAGAATAAGAGAATAGCCGATTGCTTTGAGAATGCACTAAGTAATCTTTCAAAAAGTTAGTTGTATGCATGGGAGATGCACACTATATTTTTATACTACCTTCAACATTTAATGCATGGGGACACTTGTCACTTGAGGATAAGAAGGCAGAGGATGACTTGACCAATGTTGATATCTTATTTTCATCGTACACAGCGTGCATACAACACAGTTCATGCAGAGACAAACTTTGCAGAGATATGGTCAGTCTGTAGGAAGATCTCATTTGGATGGATATGTAGCTTCAAGTAGCTACTCACAAATCTTCGGTCCATGAAAATTTTCAATCTTCGGTCCATGATCTTCAATCTTGAGTTCATGAAGATTTTCAATCTTCGGTYCATGATCTTCAATCTTGAGTCCATGAAGATTTTCAATCTTCGGTCTATGAAGATCTTCTTTCAATCGGCTTGTAGCTTCAAAATATTTTCAATATGTATTTCAGCTACTTCGGAGTCTTGGTGTGTATATTAGACAGTTGATCCACAACACCGCATCGGTGACCTTCTGTCTTCACATCGGCTAGTCTTCGATTTTGCCAATGGCTTTAAGTATGTACGAAGACACCAATATACAAAGAACCAATAACTACTAAGTGTTGCTAAGGTATAGAAACAGATAAGTGCTAGCTAGGGCCTGGAATCGACCTAATACCATTGACTGGCCTGTGAAAAATTTGGGCCCCAAAATGTTGGGGACCCTGTTCTATATCTCAGATGTAACAGGACAAGGGACGGGCCTGTCGATAAAGAAACTCTCACTTTGGTAATTGCCTCGTTTGATGAAGTTCACAAACTGACCCACTTGAATGGGATCTGTTTCTATACCTTTCTTCCTCCTCTGCACTTCAAACATGAATCAACACCAATATTTATTGTGGTGTCATTTTTAAGATGATTTGATAAGTCATGAATTTTGTTTTATAGTATGTTCTCTTGTCTATACAGACTTGATTGGTAATCCATAAGGTTGGATATCTCTAAAAAAGTTGCTCTGTGAAAATTCTCAAAGATCCCAAGGCAAAAGGAATTCAAATTGCGGTGGTTTGATTTGTTTTCAAGGGATTTCAGTTTTATAATGGAAGGGCTTAATGCTATTTCCATTCTCTTCTCAAATGGACCATAAAACAACCCCCAAAGAATGATAACTATGCTTATGCAAGAAAGATATTTCTTTCAATAATGCAATGGGTCATTCGATTATTAAGCAGTAACCAGTTTCTTTCCATTGAAATAATTCACTGCTTGAAAGAGCAACTAAATGCAGATTCCAGCCAACTAAATGCAGTAAAGGGCGACCATACATGCATTGAAACAGTTGCTTATGCAATTTAGCATACAAGACATGGAACTATCTTCATGCTGCTGATGCATTAAAGTAATAAAATTAGGTCCCATCTTTATGTTATCAGTTTAGACTGTATCACACTGAAACAAGAAAATGTACATACATATATTGATTTAAATTACTCCTAGTTGAAGTGAAATTTTCTTATAAACCCTAGTGACATAAAGTAGACCAACCTAAACAGTGCTACAAAAGGTACCCAACTGTGACAACTCAATATAAAATCCCAAATTACAAGTGACTTAAAATCCTAGAAAGAGAGAGAACTGTTTGAAGATGTTTTTGACAGGTAAGTTTAACTTTCTTGAAATCTATATTATTGTAATCTACAAAAATTACCTGGAAAGTGTACATCTCATGAACTTTTTTTCTTCTAACATCTTGCCTCATTCGACACAAAATGTTAAAGGATGTAGCAAATACACTGGACTCTGAAAATTATGACTGGATTTGTATGTTATTTACAAAGGCATGACATAATATTAATCAGTGGGGGTTGTGAACATATTGATCGGGATAAGAGATTTAACTGATTCAAGTAAACCAAAGGATATGGCTTTAGGTACGACAACGTTGAATGAGTTATTCACATTACCAACCTCACTTTTAGGACCCATTCGCCTCGTTACAATTTTCGATGATCGTGCTTTTCAATTACCCGACTATTTTTAAAATTAACGACTTTGTATTTGTTTGTTATGTCTCTATCTTCTAAGATAGTACTACGTTTTTAATAGGACTATTACTTTGGGCACCATGTGTTTGTATTAAGTATAGAAAAGATGAGATGCATTATTTTCATGTGATTGCAATGTGTTTGCTACCATTATTTTCATATTAAGGTTTTCAAAAAGTTTATTTTCAGATTTGGAGAGAACCAATATGAAGATCAATTTGGCTATAAATCATGGTGGCATGTTCCAAACAAATTCATTCTATTATGGAGGTAAAGTTGCATATTTGAAAGATTTTGATGTAAGTAACATAGGTATTAGAAGCCTAAGACAACGCATTGAAGATTTTTCTTCATCTGAAGTTAGTCGAATGTATTATAGGGTTCCTAACACAGATTTGGAAAAAGGATTGAAACCCTTTGATAGTGACAAATATGTTGAAAGGTTTTTTAGTTATGGTATGTTGTCGACACAATTGGAAATTTTTATAGATCATTATAACATTGATATTAGTGAGTTCTTGAATAGTAGTTATGATGATACTGTTGAAGAGGATTATGTTACCGGTAGTGATGATGAGATTAGTTTTTTCGATGTTGATGATGACGAGGTTGCTAGTGTAGATCATTTATCAGAAGGGGATGATAACGGCTCTAATTGAGCATTATGGAAAGTTATGGGACTCCGGTGAGGAGATTAGGAGTAATCCAGGATCAACGGCACACTTCGTCAAGCTTTGTGGCCAACTTTCCTTTTAAATAGTCGTACTACATTTTCAATTGTTTTTGGATTAATTTCACATGACACACTTTTTCAAGCTTTGTGGCCAACTTCGCCCAATTTTTTTTGGGAATACTGCCTCCGTTTTGACATTGATTAAAATGTTTGTTTAAATTAAATTATATCTTTTTGTATTTAATAATCTATTTGAATGATAAAAATTACTATTTACCCTTAAAAAAATTTAAAAGGCAACAAAAATTATTAACAAACAAGAAACACCTACAAATACTTTTCACGAGAAGCAAAAAGAAACACAAAAGCAAGAGTCACTCCAACAAAAACAAGGACCTAACCAACAACAATATCAAGCAACAGACACAATACTGCGGACAAAAGAACCCATTAAGATGACCATGACCATCTTTTTTATATAGAACGGCAACCTACTCTCACGAGATGATAAAGTCCTGTAAAAAATAAGATAAAGACGTAGATGAGGAAATCGATGAAGAAAGGAATGACAAGCGGCAACATTAGTAGGACATGTGAGATACATTGATAAAAGAGTAAAGAATAGGGTGTCTGTTTAATGTATAACCACTCTCTTAATGTCGTATTTGGGTACGTCATCCTTCATCCAACTCATTGATGTGATTGTGACAACTTTCAGATCACCAATGATTTTACTTTACTTTGAGAGTATGCCATTTTATGAAATTGTTTCCATTCGGGATTTAGTATATAGAGACCAAACAATGAATCATCTTCGACGTCACATAGTTGATGCAATTTTCAAGTAGTATGTGTTTGGCATGAGAGAAGAGCATTGGTCTAGTGGGTAACATCGGATGAGGGATGAGGTACGGGCAGTGGCAAAGCAAGGATGAGCTGCAATTAAGTAGCTAAAATGGGTGTTTTTCAGAAGGGGTATGTTTCTTTAAGAGAAGTAATAGCATTTGGAAACGCTTTGGCTTAATCCATTAAGCCCACAACGCTCCTTAGCTGAGTGAATCAACCACAAACAAACAAACATCTATGGCTTACCAAACAATAAATGGCATTAAGTCGATATGAAATAGTCCCTTACCATTTTGAGGTGGAAGGGCAAAGGCGTTTTTGTTACACGTGTGTGTTTAAAAGTAACTCATAGTAATCAATTTGAATATTTGGTGAAACACGTAATTCTAAAGATCGATGGTCTTGCTCTATTTTTGGTTTAACAATATAATTTTTTATAAGATACTCATAAAACTTAATGATTATCTTAATTATTTTTTAGATTTTTTATATTTAAAATAAATGTATATTTTGTATTTGATTATGTTTATCTGTAGTTAATTACACGAATTTAAAAATGGAGTTTTAAAAAATATACTTATGTAAAATTATTTATAATATTAAATTTTATGTAATATACATTAATAAACAATACTTTATACATAAGATTGAAATTTTTAATTTTTTTATCAAATACTTTATAATATAATATAAATATTTAGATATACTGATAGCGAAATAGTTAAATTATGAATAAAAAGTGTAATGGTTGATGTCGATTAATTCCAACCGGTAAATTTAATGCGAAATTACATAAGCACCCGAGTCATGCCGCTATTGAACTCGGATATCATCAGCCACCGAGTCACATATTCACTGACAGAAGAAACACAAAAAGATCACGATCCGTGTGAAATAATTATATCCAATCAAAATTGATTTACAATACAATCAACCAATGAGAATAAACCACATGAATCCACTATGACTTTCCCTATATGAATAATCAAAGTCAACGTCTTCACGGATACGACTCCCATTAATCGCGTGTATATATATCCGTACATTCCTGAGTGGAGGATGTTCTTCCCCAATTCCAAAACCCTAGATTTCTGAATCCTACAAATCTCACATAAATCTCTCGTTCTACAGGTATCACATAAATCTCTCGTTCTACAGGTATCAATTTCATCGTTTATCTTCGATTTCTTCCCTTCTTAGTTTCAGTCGGTTGATTTCTGATTCTAAAGTTTACTTTTGTTTCCGGATTTTTAGTTTCTGTGAATCTGAAAAGCGATGGCTCGTACTAAGCAAACTGCTCGCAAGTCTACCGGTGGAAAAGCTCCGAGGAAGCAACTGGCTACCAAGGTATGTGATTTTAGTTCGATTACTGTTGTTTCTTATCATCTGCCGATGTAGCGTGACAGTATTTCGATTTATTCAGTTTTTTATGCATCAATTATGTCGATATATGAAGATTTCTTTTTGTTCATTGTTCGTAATCGATTGCGAATTCGTCACAGGCTGCTAGGAAATCTGCTCCCACAACTGGAGGAGTGAAGAAGCCTCATCGTTATCGTCCTGGAACTGTCGCTCTTCGGTAAGCCTCTCGATTTTCTCGTCTAAACCCTAGAATACAGAGTCCCAATTTTAAGCGTACGAACCTTATCCTTTCAGTTGCTAATTAATTTGTAATCATATCTTGAAGTTGATTAGCAAATATTCCAATTTTCAATTAGGCGAATGAAATCCTTAGTTAGATTATGAAATCGATAAAAGAAGATTATGTGCACCTGACCAATTGTATCATTGATATATTATCTATCTGTATATCCTCGATTTAATTCATTGGATTCTGCTGGACTGGAATAACGATTCGTACCAGTTCATCTTCAAGATTCATCACTTACCGTTTTATGTTCATGAATACAGTGAGATCCGCAAGTATCAGAAGAGTACCGAACTGCTAATCCGCAAATTGCCATTCCAGAGGCTTGTTCGTGAAATTGCCCAGGATTTCAAGGTGATTATTTATGGCTTCAAGAGTTTATCACTTCATTTATATCTTAATATCACCATTATATAATTCACACAGTTTATGCTGATGGTTTTGTTGATAATCTTTGATTACAGACTGATTTGAGGTTCCAGAGCCATGCTGTATTGGCACTTCAGGAGGCTGCAGAAGCTTATCTTGTGGGTCTCTTTGAGGATACCAACTTGTGTGCGATCCACGCCAAGAGGGTTACGATCATGCCAAAAGACATCCAATTGGCTCGCCGTATCCGTGGAGAGCGAGCTTAGAATCACTTCACTAAAGAAAATTTGGTCCTTTTGAGATGTATGTTGTCTTTACATATTGAATCTCGTATTTGTTTTGTTCTTGTGGTAATCTTCTTGGAAGGATTCTTGTTTTAGTTTTATATGGAAATTGATGGAATTTTGTTGGTGGGTATAAAATTGATAGGAATTGCATACATTCTTGATGATCACATTGTTCTTTCAAGTTTTTGATGAACTATCGATGACAATGTGATTCTTTAGGTTTTATTTGGTGTTGAATGTTGTTTTCTTCAAGTATGCATATTGGTTGAATTGTTTCCAAGCCTTGGCCTTGGGGTGTTTGAATAACTGAAATTCACAAGGCTGTTTAAGCATGAAAGTCAAAAACAGGTCGTGATTAGAAATCGTATTTGGAGTGATGGGGTTTGGAGTTGTTACGGTGGTGGGTGTTGTACTCCTCTGGTTCGAGCTTTTAGGAGAGTGGTGGGAGTTGGAGGAGCTCATTTGGAGTGTTAGCCTCGTTTCTGATGAGAGTGACTGTTATATTTGGTGGCTTAGAGCAACTCCAATCGGGGTTTTGCCGTTCTCTTGGATCCAATCGTATGTTAAAAACACAGAATTTTTGCCGGAGGAAGGAAATGAACGGCAAATTTGCCGTGGAAGAGATGGCCGGCAAAAGGTTGGAGTTGGATTTTTTTTGGTGTTTATGGGCCCATCTATTTGGTGTTTTTTTTGGTGTGAAGGTTGGAGCTGCTCTTAGCGATGATCGAGATTTTGTGGTGAGGTACATTAAGGATTTGGTTGATGATTCCTCTTTGGTTTCTTCGACAAGTATTGTGCCTACCGCTTGGAGCAAACTCGTTCGCTCAAAAATATCCATCTTTAGTAGATATCTTTATTTGGTGACTAAAGCTTGGGATAATTTTGGTTCGGACCAGGAATGGGACCATAATTTTTTTCAAATGTTGGTACTATTTGATTAAAAAAATGAAACTAACAAAATTTGAACTTGGGTCGAAAACTAATTTTCATTGTAGTTTCAAAATATATACGGTGGTACACAACAAATTAATACGGTTGCATCTTTCACGAACCTAAATATTTTTACCCATTGACAGAGGAATAATACGGTGACACATGCCACCATATGCACCACTATAGGTCCGCCGATGGTTCAGGCTTGTCTCGATCAGATGGGGATTGACTTTCACTCGGTCCTTTGCCCTCGGTGTGATAGCGTCATCGAATCAATAGACCATTGCTTTGCGGCTTGTTCGTTGATATCAGTGTTGTGGTGCAGAATTTTGAAGTGGTGGAACCTCACCCATCAAGATATTACTTCAGTTTCGGACATTTTTACTTTGACCGAGTTCTTTCATGCTTCATCACCTAAGAGTAAGTTACGGACAACTGTTGTTTGGATCACCCTTTACTCGATCTAGGGCTCTCAAAATAAAATCATGTTCGATAGTTCTTGTGGCTGGGAAGACTTGTTGGTCGATATCTAACTTGCCTCTTTTCGTTGGTTGTCCCATCGTGCCAAAGCGTCCTCTGTGGATCGTGGGAATTGTGGTGCTGCTTTTTTTTTTTCATGATTAGTTGCTCTTGATTGATTGGTTTTTTTTTTTATTTGTCTCGTTCGTTTTATTGGGCGCTTTGTGTGGGTTATTGTTTGGGTTTAGTGGTAGCCTCTCTCCTTTCTTTGCCTTATAAATCTTTTTCGTTGGTTTCTTAATATATGCTACCTTCAATTCAACTTCTTTTACTTTCTTGCTAACCTTAGTTTTGTTTGTTTTTATTGATTTCTGATCGCATCGATGTTGCCAATGTTACTTTTTATATAAAATAACTTATAAAAACAATGTTTAATGCATAATTTATATTATATTATAAAGCATTTGACAAAAACTCTTAAAAACCAATTTTTATGCATGAAAATTCAAGGTTATTTTGCATAAATACAATTTATTAAAGCTTCATTTTTAAATTCGCATAACTAACTGCAGATAAACATAATCAAATACAAGATAAACATTCATTTCAAATATAAAGAATCTAAAATATAATTAAGATAATTAGTAAGTTTTAACAGAACGTTTAATTACTATCTTTATAAAAAAATTATATTCTTAAATCAAAAATAAATTTTACTGTTATTAAATCTAAATTAAATTATAATATAAAATTGAATTAAAGAAATACTAAAAAAACGAAAACTATTAAATAGTTAATTTGATACTAATACTGATTTATTTTTTATCAAATTTTTATGCTATCTTCAAATATATATTTCATTCAAAAATAAAAACATTACCGCTTTCTTAAAATCACATAAAATTGATGGTAATCAGTTCTTGAATTTTTTGAATAATTGTGCTATCTTAATTTTATGCTATCTTCAAATTTATATTTCATTCAAATTTTACTGTTTAAACATTTCTTGAATTTTCTTCAAGTGATGATAATCAGTTCGGTCAAAAGCATTTTCCAGCAATGAGAAATATGATAGTTGTTCAAGAACGGAGGGGAATTACCCAACCTAGAATTCTCTGGCCAAATTTACTGATGTTTTAGGGTTACAAGACTAGTTTTATCGTTTTTACAAAGCTTTGACGACGTTTTGTAGTGAAAAGTTTTCTAGCTCAAGCCAAATACGTAAATCATAACGACGAAGCATGTAAATATGTATGTCCTAGTTTGATTTTTTCTTGTTTTAACGTTTTATGAATATCCATCACTCGTGTTTTATACGTATCTACAATATTTTGCTTCAAATAATTGTGCTTAATTTTGTTACGTAGGGAGTCTGTATTTGAATACAACAAATGTTCCTTGGCTTATCATTGAATTATATATATTCAGGTATAAAAATCCTAAAAACCAACAAACATGAAAACGACCATCATTGTTTAGAAAACAACCGATCATCGTAATGATCCAAAATTTAGCTAAACGTTCCATGTGATTAGGCACGACATAATGTTGTCTAGGACAAACCTTTGGTAGTTTGGTCAAGTTTATCGAAACCAATACCAGTGTATATACGCCTTTTAATAATTCAGGTATTTTATCTGATGTTTAACAAACTATACTTTTAAGGTTTTTGTTTATGTATATACACTTCAATGAGACAACTTTTTTTTAAAGGGGAAATTAGTGTAAAATTATGTTGTCTTTTCCGGTGCTTGCTTATGAGGTATGACAAGTAGAGTTCACAAAATGTGGACAACGGGGCCATGAGGTCCCCGCCATTAAACCATTTTTTTTTAGTGTAAAACACTACACAAATATGATTAAGCCACATGACTTGAACTTATGAGTCATATTTTTAAGGTGTAGGACACCATAGATTTTGTCCCTTAAATGGGCATTTTATAAAATATAGGCTATTAAGAGTTGTTTATTAGACGCTTATTGACAAGAGTCGTGAGCTTCACTTACCTTATCTGGTAAAGTTTTATAAACGAAAACGGGTTGTTGGTAAGTACTAACCAGACAAAAGTCGTCTATCTTATTTACCAGGTAAGATTCTCGATTCTTGTTATGTTTCTTATCGGGTAAGTTTCTCGGTTCTTTCCATTCTCATTTGGTAAGGTAAGTGATGTGTAGTAAGTGCTTACCCAGTAAGAGTTTGATAAACAGGCTCTTAAATGAGACTTTTGAAACTCTGTTATCCAGTATTACAATTGAACGAGATTCAATTTCTTTTAATAGAAGATCTGTATTTAACTCGAGTTCGTCAATCATAACGTCAATTAAAAAAGGTATTTTGACCAATTGACAGTTCTACAAAGACCACTCAAGGTGTATAAGAACCGAGTATTTACCAGTCTTATCCGATGCTAAAGGGACCGGTCTTTTTTAGCCAAAAGAAAAGATTGGAGTAAACCATAATCGGTTCTTGTTCAAAAGTTTAGGATCAATCAAAACTGAGGGTCCTAAGTGATTATTTTGTTTTTTTAATACATATATTAAAGAATGAAATGGAGGATTATTTTAAAAAATATATCGAAATTTAATTTAATTGTAAACTAATTAACTTATAAGTCTATAGCAAATAAAAAATAGTAAAATTATGATATTATAAAATAATTCATTCGTTATTATCATCGTTTTAAATTTGGAAACAATCAAGATATTTATAGAATCAGTTATTCATCAGGTTATATGGATATGATTAAGATTGATCTGCATTTGAAATTATTTCTATATACAAGGGAAGATCCATATGAGAACGAAAAATATTTATGAACTACGGAACTATTTTTATAGTGTATATTCATTGATGAATATACGATATATAGATTTTGTCAAAATATATATTTTGTCAATGAGTGCATTCATCAATGAACATATGCACATGTATTTTGTATTCTATTAGTGGATGTATTCATCAATGAATACACACTAAGACAACTAGTTCTCCGGTTCTTAAAATTGCGGTTATCATGTGAACTAGGTTCTATATTTCCAAATCATATAAAAAACATAATTGGATTAGTGAAAACATTTGGTGGCCCCAACGTTACGTATTAAATTTAAGATCTAGCTTCAACGTATCATTTTAAATACTTTTAAACGAATATCATTTTATGTTCAAACTAGAATTCAATTTAAACAATTTCAAGCTCAAGTAGTTTGTCGATTAATTGCCCGAATACTTAACACCTTTAATTTTTTTCTCTCTGTATTTCAATACCTGTTTTTAAATTTCAGATTGCAAACATTTGACAGATTTTATGTCTTTTTTATGTTTAATATATGCACGGAGGTTGACAACGTATGACAAGACTCCATCAAGTCGTCAAACTATTAAAGAAAGTTAAAATACGTCAACTGATGTTTAAATTAAAGTCATCTACACCAAAATGACTAGATTAACCAAATGCCTCTAGGTTAATTTTCTTTAAGGGTCAAAACGTATAGTGACGAAAGTTAAAACAAAAACTTTGTAAAAGAACCTGATGACATGGAGGAGACGGATGTCAAGGACTAAGGGGGTGGGGGTGTCACCGAAATGTCGACGGTGGTAGGGTGTAAGGGAGGGGAAGGGTGACGGTGACATATTTTGACGTTTTTATCGTCGAATGTCTTTTTAAGAGTTCCGTTATAGATTAATGATGTCGTGATTTATGAGACATTTTATTTGTGTTTACTACCAAGACACTCAAGGATTGGTGGCCATAAAGTCTTTTGCTCTTCA